AAAAAAAAAACGGTAACCTGGTTGCCGAGTTCACGAAGTGAATTGGCTTGTTTTACAACGTCGTTGCCAGGCGACGAAAACCCAACCCCGATAGCAAATACCGGGGGGTGTCGGGGGAGGGGCAGGCTCGAAAGCGGACGCTTCACCCGCGCAACGATATCTTAATTCGGTGGTGTCTCATGAAGAGCTATAGCGAGCCTGCTTACTTTGCCAAAAGGTCGGTCGCTTACCCGGAAATCTCACAAGCTGCTTGCTTGGCTCCGCGCAGGATGATTCTGGGCCAGTGACAGAACTTCTCGAGGAAGTTCGCGATGCAATTGCCGAGATCGTGAAGGTATGCACGGTGTGTGTAAATATGCGATCCTCTGCTCGACATCATGGTTTTAATCGATGACGTACTTTGTTTTTTGTTGCTGCTTGTCGTTGCTATTTTAGTTGTTGATGATGATAGTTAGCCCAGACAATCACGCGCTGAAAGAAACAGGCCGGGTTTTCCTCGATGCGTTGAAAAAGCTCCATTTTCTTGTAAGCCTTACCACACTGCTCTGTGGTAGTGGGACTTGGTCCTAGGCGATTTCAGCAGTCCAGCTGACAGTTCTCGCGAATTGAACGCTGGCAGCTTCTCCGTTCACGAGGTAGTAGCGCGGAGTGAGGTGCCTTTCAATCCCTTACATCCGTTTGCCTTCGTTCGCGCTTGGCGAACGCCATCTGTCGTGTAGCCCGCCTTATGGAACCCTGTCCGCAAGTACGGCGTTCTCGACATTTGAAAGGTCTGAGGACGGCTTGGACGGGCTGATCCACCTATGCACCGTCGCAGGTCGCTACATGCTTCCTTAGGAAAGGAAAGCTAGCGCGTGTTTTGACTTCCACCTTGTACAGGAGCGCCAAGAAACCGCCAAGACCGGTCTACGGGATGCGCTACAACGCCTCCAGACAGGCGTTGCCTTTGTCTCCATGAATGTGCTTCACCGCACCTCAACCAGCGTCGATAGTTTGGCAAGGAGAGTCGGGCCCGAGGGACATATTTCTCGGAAGGAGCGAAAGAAGAGGATGATGGAGTGCCACGAGATACCTTCTGGCGAGGTGATCTGCTTCGACGACATGATCTTGGGCACGGGGGGCTATTCCACAGTGCAGCTTGTGGGGTACCAAGAAACAGCTGCCGCAGCAAAGGTGGTGCAAATACCGTATATGACACAAGATAACACACCCCCCGTGACCAATTTTCGAAGCTCGATTTCCCAACTGCAGGAACAGTCACAGCGCCGAACATGGCGGCGTTGAAACCCTCTTGTCCAGAGCTTTTCGAAAATGTATCCTTTCGTTTATGCATTCTCTTCGTCGTGGAGTAATCGAGCTTTGAAAATCAGTCCAGGGGGTGTGTTATCTTGTGTCATATACGGTACCCAAACCCGATGCAGCTGATGCAACCGAAAAGATGACCAAGATGTTCGTGAACGAGCTGCACGCCATGATGGAGCTACGGTCGCAGCACACGGTCAGCATCTTCGGTGCCGTCACCTCCGTTCCGGGGAAACTGGTGCTCATCATGGAATAAATGGAAGGTGCGTATGTGTGTGTGCACCTAGCGTCAGAGGATCGTGTGTTGGAGTCGGAAGGTGTACCGGGGGTGCCCGCGTGTTCGGATTGATTCAACGCATGCTCCTGTCATCTGAAATGCAAAGCCGTTAATATGATGGTTGAGGGTTGTTAATGCTACTTTAACCCCGTTCGCCGCCTGACGTGCTGATGTGTGTCGAAACAAAGGCGGCGATCTGCGGGCTTTTCTCAGTGCGGCAAGCGATCCGCTCGAGAGCCGGGTCGAGAATGGCCTGGCTTGCGACATCGCCGAAGGGATGCAGTTTTTGCACTCAAAAAAAGCTTTTCATGGTGACCTGAAGTCTCCGAATGTGCTCCTAACCAGGGACAACAGAGCCAAGGTGAATGCAGGACTTGATACCAATTGTCGTGCAACGACAGCGCTATTCCATTACCATCACGTTCGCTCCAATATGTTGATTGATGCAGGTTCAGGGTTCCGGCTGTTTGGGATTTTTTTCTCTCTACACACGCATAGGGACTTCCCTGCACCGTGGGCCAGCTAGAGGCGACTCACCCCATTCCCAAATTCCAATTCCTCGTTCTGATCAGATGCTTTTGTTTGCTGCTTGCCCCGCACAACGTTGTGTAGATTGCAGATTTCGGCACCGCTCGAACCATCGAAGAGATCGCGTCAATGGCCACGAGGGGGGGGACTTTGTGCCAGTACGGCACGACCCTCAAGTGGGCCGCCCCCGAAGTGCTGAACGACGAACCTTTGCGGGCTGAAAGCGACGTATACAGCTTTGGCGTGATTGTCTGGGAGATTGTCAGCCGGCAGGTGCCTTGGCAAGACGCCAGTCTGAAGGAGATCTTGGTGAAAGTGTGCAGGGGGAAGCGTCCTGAGATACCGGCAGAAGCACCGCCGCTCCTGGCATCGTTGATCGCGCAGTGTTGGACAACCGTCCCAGAGGATCGAATTCCTTTCAAACAGGTGCTAGCTGTGCTCAAGATGTAAACGGCCAGGCTCCCCCACGCAAGGGTTGTTAGTTAAGACATGGGTGGGGCGTTTGCTGTCGAAATAACCACAAGAACCTGGAGCTTTAGTAGCAGACTTCATGGCCAAAATGGCCAAAATGCTTTTGGCGGCAGTAAGACAATAGACGCAATGAAATATCATGCCATCTTTTTTTCTTCTTTTTTTTTGGGGGGGGGGTTAGGGGACAAGGGTCACCGCCTCCATGATACGCCGATCGCACCACATCCCGTCCGGTCTGTGAAGTTAAGCGGCGTCGGGCCAGGCTAGTACTACGGTGGGGGACCACGTGGGAAGCCCTGGTGCTGTCCCTTTTTTTTGGCATACATACGCGCCTGCTTTTGCACTGCGCCCGCCCACCCGCCACTACCCGCCGACACTCACTTCTTACTCGCTGCTACCATACCATAAAAGTTCGGGACAGACTAATATGATGACCAACTTGTGAGTCTACGGTTCCCCGAGCAGTATTGTATATAGCGATATCTTCCCTGTGGGTAATGGCTCAACAAGACAGTTTGATGGCCATCATGTGTATCTGAAGATATCATATCATACCATACCATTATGATATGATATGCTCGGGAGGTAAGTGTAGAGGAAGATGTGGGGAAGGTTTTGGGCGGCGGGTATCCTAGACTACATGTTGTGCCCTTGGTTGAATGTACACAGCAGTACACTGTGTCTGTTATTAGCATCGACCGCGGCTACCGGCTGATCAATGAAAACACCGTCAGTTCGTGCAGTTGAAAACAGAAAATGCTTCTTAAGCCACAATCTGGGGCCCCGTGAGGGGGCATCATGAGGGAGGCTAAGCTACTCTCCGGGTTAAAGAGAGAAACGGTTTGTGCAATGCTCCTGATTGTGCTGACGTGACTTTGCACGGGGAAATGTCAGACTTTAAAGGGCGATATCACTTCCGCCAGTTTCTCCATTTATCGTGAGAACAGTTGTTTCATGTACGCTAGGCGAACATTCGCGAGATGTGTTGAGCCTTGTTCCACCAAGATGGCTACATGTTAGGGTCTCTTGACAAATTTGTGGCTTCCACGCCACCGCGTGGCTTGTCACAAAGAGTCGAAGAGGACACCGATCTATGCTTCATTCGTGTGAGCTTTTCCGGGTCGAGCCAAGCAGACACCGGTGTCAGTGTGCGTCCGATGCGCTTTGAAACTGAGGTGTTGCAGCTCGGAGCGAACACCGTGAACAACGTAGATTTCTCCCCGAGTCAGAGTTCCCCCCCCCCCGCCNCCGTGAACAACGTAGATTTCCCCCCGAGTCAGAGTTCCCCCCCCCCCGCCATGATATACCTTTTCGGCCTGGAAGCATGAGTTCGTTGATTTAGCCCCGGCGCAGATCGTTTTCGACCAAACAAAAAAAATCCCCCCGGGTAGTCAATTTCCTCCGGGGTACCATTTTTCCCACGAGATCCCCCCGGGGGGGGGGGGTACTCATAGTCGCGCATGCCGTGTCGTTAGACCATTGACCTCGCATCCCTACAAAGTCGGGACGGAGCACGCCGGGTTCTCACCGGACCAGGCTTTCACGTCACCAAGCGCGAAGCGCCGTGAGGTATTAGGCGAGACGCATGAAGGGTGCGCTGCATCCTGCTAAGGGTGTTCGGCATCTTGTGCTTACTTCCTTGCGTACGGATGACAGCTGCGTATGACTTAATCTATTTTCTGGTGCTTCACTTCCAGAGACAGTTGTAAGCACTGTGTAACTGCCTCGAGGGTGCTTGACCATTTTAACACAATGTGGTGCGATCATCCTCCTTGCGCGGAGTGAGGGTTCTCCACCTCGCACAACATGATCTACTCGACCGCCATTCATTATGGTTTCCGCCAAAACAAAACAGAGGAAAAAAAAAACGGTAACCTGGTTGCCGAGTTCACTAAGCGAATTGGCTTGTTTTACAACGTCGTTGCCAGGCGACGAAAACCCAACCCCGATGGTAAACACCGGAGGCGGAGTTTCCCCCGGGGGGGATGTATTTCCCTTATGTCCTGAGTCGATTTTGTTGCATCGCGGAGCACAAAAAAAGCATGATATGGGACGGCTATTTCACTTGCAGATCTGCGCTACGAGCGAGATTTAGGTGTACCGTTTGTCACTTGGACCTCGCCGTTGTTTTATCGGTGAAATGGTTTCATTTTTTGTCTGTTTCTTGCATTTATCATCCCTGGAGTCAGCTGAAACGTACCATATAGCATGCTGACGAAACCTTGCGCACAAAGGGAAAAAGTAATCGTATTCATTTTTGGATCTTACAACTCAAGGTAGAACCAAAGCATAAATATAGCGTATTCCTGCGGACAAACCGGGAATTCTGGTGCATGAGCTTAGGCAATGGTACCTCATACTGTCTTTTTTCTCTTCGTCTTTGTTGCTCTTACGTTCCTCCTCCCTCTGCTTGTTGAATGCTTGCTCGTAAACCTTATCCATCTCAGTGTCACCACTCTGTGTGTGTGGTGTGTGTACCATCATTGTTTTGCACAACCCCCCGGGGGGGGGCTTCCCCCCGGGGTAGCGTTGGACAAAAAAAAAACAGCCTCCCGCGGTACGTCGATTTACCCCCGGGGGGTTGTTTTCAGAAAAAAAAGCGATCCCCTCCCCGGGGGGGAAACTCCGTAGCTTACGGTATCTCCCGGTACCGATGCTGGTCGAGAAGGGGGCGGAAATGGCCGTCGTACATCACCAATAATCCGGTCCACCGCCAGCAGTTGTGTCGTGTGTTTGTTGTTTCACATCATGACGGCATGATGTGGTGCGTTTGCAGACACAGAGGCAGAGGTACATGTAGTCTAGAGTGACAGAGAGAAGACGAAAGAGGAGGTGTCAGAAGACAACAAGCAGCAATGAGCCCATGAAGTCGACGAGTTCATGCAGTATTGACAGCCAGTCTATCAAGGCCGTCCATCCTTGGAAGGCAAGCTACCGGGGTCGATCTTCGTAGTATATTTCAGTCCGTCCCGACAAGACCGGATACGCACCCTCTCTGTGATATCTTTTGTTAGGGATGCTTACTCCATTCTAGACTACAAAGTCAGCGCTGAGTAGTCTAGTCTAATGGTGTAACTTTATATTACATACCGGATAATACATTTTCATCTGATGATAACCCCCGTCATCACCACCGAGCTACGCACGCGCCAGTCAAAGTGGACTCTGCAACGGTCCTGCGGTAGTTGTCAACTGTACAGATTGTGCATTTCCTGCAGGAAACGAACTTAACCAATGGGAGACACAACCAAAAACGCAACACGCAGGTATGAAACCCACTTCATTGCAGTGGATGGGTGTTCGCGACAGCTCGTGCACAGGGTTGTGGAGAAGCATGTGATGCGTGGGTCGCCTAAGTGAATGCACACACACGTGTTTCTCTCCTCCTCCACCCCACCACCCTTGCGACTCTCCGTCACTCTCCCTCTCACATTATCTAGCCACATTTCAACAGCCTCTACTCAAAGAGCACATGCAGACCGTTTCCGTACTCCCTTTCGACCGCACGAGCTGTGTTCTCGGTTCGGGTAACGGCAGACAACGGATACTATTTTGTCGGCACTCCCGTCTGATGCAAGCAGACATGCGATAGACGTCAGACGTGCTGCAGCAGGGGAGGCGGCGGGGGTAAGAGGTCCAATCTATCTATACGTTGCAGCAGAACGGCGGGGGTAAGAGATTCAGTCTAGACGTTGCAACAGAACCGCATACTCGGAATCGGTAAAACGGTTCTCGTCGTCGTCGGGGTCGGCCGTCGAGGGTAAGGCCCTTCCCCATTCTGCTCCTTCTTTTTTTGTTTCTGATCCTTTTGTTCGGCAAGCATCTGCGTCAAAAGTCCGATCTGCTCGTCGGTTCTGCTCCTTTTCGGCCGTTATGCCCTCAACTATGCTCGTTATTGTGGGCCAATTTCGCTCATTTCTGCTGCACTTCTCGGTGGATATGCCCTCATGCTTGCTTATCCGTCAACGGCCAGTTGTGCAATTTTCTCGTGGTTATCATGCTCTCACTTAGTCTAGACTCTGCCTGTGTGGGTCAAATGTGCCTTTTCCTCCTTTGCTTCCTCGATATCTGCTCTTTGCCTCATCGATCGACCCCCTCGCGTACCACCGATGCTATGAAGTGGCTCAAGGCCCAAATATGCCCAATTATTCCCCGTTTTAGCCATCTCCGGCACATAATATAAGGGCGTCTAATTGGTAGTGATCCAGTAGGATATAGGCATATCTGCTCGTTTTCTTGCTGTGCATAGTTCTGCTCCAGGAACAGGTTGTTCTGCTCGAGCATTGCTTGTTCTGCTCGAGCAGATGCTAAAATCGGATCTGCTTATGGCTATGCTACTTATTGCCAAATCTGCTCTTTTTTCTACTCGCAGAATGGGGAAGGGCCTAATCGAGCGTCCAGGGTCAAGGGTCTCTCTCTATTGCTGACAGTTTCAGCACACGACAGCAACCGCCTGCATTATTTAACAAAACTCTGGACAAAAGTTCTCCATGCGTCGCCCCTCGTCTTGAGCCCTACATCAGAGCCTCGGCAGCCAGGCAGCCAGAGCAGGACAGGACACATGGCTCAAGGATCGAGACGATACAGGCTATGGATGGGAGTGAGCCTGATGGCTCTGGGCGTCCTCCTCGCCTTGTGCTGTCGTGAAGGGAGCGCGTTGGCAGCGGAGCAGGTGTGTGCGGTTTTGTGTATCCGACGACCAGGTACGGCGGGGGAGCAGTGCAGCGGACACCCGTCCGTGCTCTACCGGTGTTACTGGGAGAGGGAGCATCGGCGTTGGGGTGTACCAAACGTGCTGCTGTTCATGGAGAAAATACAGGGAGAAAGAGCACCAAAGTGCGATCGCTTTGTCAACGCCCGCATTTCCCGGACCGATTTATGTAGCACAGAAGCAGCAGCAGCAGCAGCAGCAGCAGCAGCACGGCAGATTTGGATTTCTGTGTCCGGGGTGTGAAGTGTGGAGTGGAAAGCACATGGAGGAGGTGGCGTGGGTTGGGCCTGGTCTGCGAAAACAATCGACGACGAACGCTCCTCGACCTCGTAACACAGGGTTGCGAAGGTAGCTTCTTCTTTCGGCTCCTAGGTATCTATCTCCGTGTTATAAGTTGGTTGTGATTTTGCTCCCTGCGCCTGCCCGCCTGCACTCCCTGTCGTTGACCTTTTTTATCCCTTTGGTGCGGAGTTATCCCTTTGGCTTTGTTGGCATCTGCCGTCCTTGTTTTTTCACCTACAAGCATGCATATTAGGAAAAATAAATACACCCACAGAAAGACTATAACGGGATGGGTCGTTGTACCATGGTGTAGGGGCTGCGGTATGATTCTTGTGTACCCATTAGAGATATACCCACATTCGAACGGGATGTGGTGGAGTCTTGTCAGTGAGCGGAGGAAAACCGGCTGGGTACTGGACTTATTTCGAGTCTATTTAAGTTCATACCTGTTGATTCGAATCAGTGATACCAGCTGGTGCGAAGTACAACACCATCTGTGAAGTAGCCTACATTTTGCAATACATACCCTGTAGTTCTCTACTGGGTCAACGTCTACACATCATACATACATGCGCATGCCTTGTACAATACTCGGTAGCTTGGTTTTCATCACGCGTGTCGGGACTTTCGTGTGGTGTCTTTAGGTGTGCGCCTTTTCCTGGCACCGTAGGAGGACTACGAGCATTGGTTGTTGAAGAAATATGCGTGCATGCATGCATTGTTGTGATGGCACAACGGAACGGCGGTGCATACCGTGATCTGTTGTCTGTTGTGATCCTCGACTCGTAGACACATGTACGGCAGCTTGATCCGAGAGTTGTTTTTGCTCTCGTTGTCCGTTTTGCGGGGTACCAGATCCTCTGTGAGGGTTACATGCACCCGTGTGTTGCCGTGTGTCTACACTGACAACACGCACACAATCAATCTGGCAAGGAAACATCGCGGTAAGAAGATGGTTCTATTCCCGACTCTGATCTATGTCCCCCCCTTATAGCACAACATACGTCCAAAACCATCTACCTCCTCTTTCCAGCGAATTGGCCCTTTATCTCTGTGTTCGATCAACTGAACATAAGGTTCTTCAAAATCTTGGGGTTATGTACTACTGTAAAAAACGATGGAAACAGGGAGGACAAAGCGCGATGGAAAAGAGGGTGGACCATCTGGCCAGCCGGGGGCCTGTGGTGACGCTAGCGGACGGCAACTTCACCCGTTACACGGACGGCAAGTCGAGGCCGTACAGCGTCGTCGTGCTCTTTACTGCTCTGGGGTCCCAGTACAAGTGCACCGCATGCAGGTAAAGTAGTATTTCCGCCTACTAGCACCGGCGGTGTTGGTTGTGAAGAAAAGNGGGGGGGGGGGGGGGGGGGGGGGGGGGGGGGGGGGGGGGGGGGGGGACGGCAGCATGGACGGTGTACTCAGCAGGGGGCAGGCACGAACAACAGAGCGAAGTGGTGACGAGGGCGTTGTCGCTTGCTGTATGTATTACCGCCGAGTACCGTCATTGTACGTAGCATCCGTGTCCTGACCTGTGAAGGAGCTCACGTCCCTTGGTATAGGTCTGCGCGCGCGTCTATTTTTGTTGTTAGAATCGACCGCGCTACCCAGCTGACCAAGGAAAAGACATAATGCTTCAGGGCGGTTGAAAACACAAAATGCTTCTAAAGGCTACCATGATCTGGGACCCTGTGTGGGACCGCGCGCTTGTGTGTGAAGCTTTAGTCCGTCCCGTAATTGGAACGATGCGTGCGCGATTGCGATGGTGGAACTCTACCGACTGGTGCTTGCAGGGCGAACAATTCGTGGCTTTTGGGTGGGTGAAGAAGCCCCCCTCTCATGCGCCCATTCTTTTCGTTTGGTTTCTTAGAAAAATCACAACACACAAGAGAAAATACCCATTCGAGATAGTTTGTTCTCAAAACGGAGCGATTGACGAACGACACGTGGCGACGAAACAGGACGGTGGAAGAACCGTACGTCAAGGTGGCCGAGGCCTACTCGCGGCAGTACAACATCCGAGAGGCCGAGCACAAGGTCGTCTTCGCGAGGATAGACATTGAGAATGGAGGGTGAGAAAGCACAATATGTACGTGAAAAAAACGCGCGGCGTGTCTATTGTGTATTTTTTTTTGTTGTTAGCATCGACCCCGGCGATGTCGGGTCTACATGTGTGTACTCCATGTTTGCATGAGACGGCAGAGAAAGAGGGATAAGGTTGTTCGGAGTTGTTCGGAGTTGTTTGTGGCGGGTGGTGCCTTCGAGGGAACGGAGCCCCCAATATTGTAGGCAAAGCGCAAGCTAAACTAGGGGCGAGCTTGTTGTACCTTAGGCCGAATCTTGCTGGTGCCTCCCTCGCGTGATGGAAGGCTCGCGTCTCCCGCTGAATCTAAACTTTTTCGAGTTTTTGTTCGCTTATTTGGAACTTTCGACCGCGCAACTCTCCTCCTCCCCCAAGGATTCAGAAATGGGGAGGGAAGGGCCGAAGATACGCGAGGTGGGTGCGGCTCAGCCTACCACCTTACAACCTTAACCTTCCGAAACGGCATAACTTTCGTCCACCCCCCCCGCGCCAAGCGAACGTACACTTCGTTCCCAAGACCACCCACCCCCCTCCTCTGCTGCTTTTCTTCTTGGACTATTTTTCGCATATTTC